CTATTTTTTTTTTTTTTTTTTTTTTTTTTTTTTTTTTTTTGGAGCAGCTTGCTTGATTACCATTTGATTTTGTGGTGATGGCCAAGTTTCTTTGTCATTATAACCTTAGCCTATCTTTAATTTGGCCCTATAGATGATGATGTTTAAGTTTGTGGCCTTAACTGATTTGCACGGTCAATGTCATAAATGGGCCACCCAAACTCACGTATAGAAATGGGCATGAGGACACCACTGGTGCCTTTTTTATTTTTTGAAAAACTCATGTATAGAGATGTTAATAAAACCTTGTATTTTCCTTAAAAAATGGTTATACTAATTAAACGCAAAGATATCAAACAAAATGTTGGACTAACTTGGGAGAAGTTGAATGCAGGAATGTCACTTCCTCGACGGTTTCAGGAAGTCAAACAGCAGAGATGTCATTTAAGGCGAAAAGAAAACAGTAAGCTAATCTAAATGTAGCGAAATGCTGACTCCTACATATGATATTATTTGAGAAGTCACTTAGTTCTATACCCGATCAGTAGAACATAGGTTTTAACCATCGCGTTATGTGCAGTGGAGAGCATGAAGTCCGATGTGTGAAGAGGAAGTTGTTATTAGAGGCCCTTTCAAAGGAACTCCCATGTGGCACCATAAGGTACTCTTCCAAGGTGGTTGCTATTGAGGAATCAGGCTTCTACAAGCTTGTACATCTTGCTGATGGCACGGTCATTAAGACCAAGGTAAAAATAATATGATATGGAATAGGGAAAATTATCTACTTTGTAATAAGATTTCTTTTAACATGTCACATTTATAACTATATATGTGTATCTATGTGGTTTAGAGACGTCAAATCGCTTGTAATATTGTTTGTTGTGTGAAATGGAAAGGTGTTGGTTGGTTGTGATGGAGTAAACTCAGTGGTGGCAAAATGGCTGGGGTTCAAGAAGGCTTCATATACAGGGAGATCAGCTATTAGGGGGTGTGTGAGTTTTAATACTAGTCATGGTTTTGAGCCATTTTTCATGCAGTTCTCAGGACATGGTTTTAGATCTGGTGCTATGCCTTGTGATGACAGATCCGTTTATTGGTTTTTGACTTTTCATCTCTCCCCTGCCCAAGGTAAGTAATTAATTGCACTCTATAAGTACTATCCTGAGCTTCATTTGGTTATTCCTTGCTTTATGAACAGTTTTTCCTCTATTCGAGTTCTAACAAAGTAAGCAGCAAAATAGATTCTTCGACTTTTCACTATAAGTGATGTGAGATCCTATAGTAGGGTTCTGAAAAAAAAAAAAAAAAACCAAAACAAAAAAAAATGGTAGCGCACTCTTTTGAATTGTGATTTTGACTAAATCTAACATTTCAAAAACACCGACTATTAGTATGGTATTCCTATCGTATAGAACTCGTGTCATGTATCAAGCAACATCAAAG